AGAAAGTTAGCGGGGACTCCTCCTGTATTCTCTTTGGCAGGAACCATCACTTTTGACAAGTAGGCATTTTTTTTCATGGCCCCTACCAATTTCAAACAGGACTACTGTACTGCCCCCAACATCCCCCAACGAGGATTCCATGCATTTATACCATAGATAACTGGCCTGGCACATGAATCATCATGAATCCATGCCCCAGGAGACTTTCTGACAAGAGAGGTGAACTGGATCCACTAAGTGGATTTGGTGATCAGCCACGGGCATCGCAACTGAGTACCATCGTACCGATTCAGTAGGCGACCAGGGCGACTCTGGGAGACCACCGATGTCTCCACAGAAACCCTGATGTTTTTTTTTGCAGCTGAGAACTCTGGGATCACCTCGAAACGGAAACAGATTCTCCTTGTGTCATGTGAGTGCAAAGTCATTAAGAAAACGATGCAATTTTGCAATTTGGTTTTGATTGATACTGATGATACTGATCCATTCCAGGGATGCGGACTCGCACACATCCTGGATGTGAAATGCCACTCAGCTGCTGTTGAAACTCCCTTTGATTGATCCAGTGCGTACTGTCGCTTTCAAGTCTCACAACGTTCGCCACTGCATGCGACCCGACGTTGGGCACACCCGGCGATGCTGTTGGTGTCTTTTGGCTTGGGATCTTCAGAATTCACCCAGGCATAGCAAGCCTGGGGCCGATCATGACATGACAAGTCTGACAAGTCGCGGATTTCCCCACTGATGGGCCATCAAATCTTTTCGACATCTGACCTTGTCTTGACGCATTCTGGGGTCAATCTGACGCATTATTTGCACAAATAGTACACAAATGGGTACAAAGCAAAACCTTATAGTCCAGCCAAGCGAGACGGCGACCAGACAGCTATGGGTTGCGCTACTAAAGCCCAGAACATGTTGAACCGACTTATATTCCTTTCTTGTAAATCGAACGATCATGTGGTAAACCCAACAATAAACCTCTATTGGGATGGTTTATGGATGTTTATGGCATTGGGTTTACCGCATTCCATATTTGTTCATTAAAGACCATGATTGCACTGTCGAAGCAGTACAAAGCTGTTGAAGTATCAGGAAGTCCCAGTCCCACCGTCATTCGACCGAGTTGCTTATCGCCCAAGTTCTCCCCGTGAGCAGCTATCAGCTTGGGAGGGCAAGGGCCAAGAATCCAGCGCCCAGCTGAAGTTACCGAAATGGATTTGGGGATGTCTGAAAGTGGGGGAACCCAACTTTGAAATTTAATGCACACAACTGTCATAAATTCCTGCAACTTTCCGAAAGTGTCCAAGCTTTTGGCAGGAATACTGGTGGGGATCGACCATTTTGAGACATCCATTTGTACATTTTCTCCCCGAATTCAATGTGAGCAGCGACGCAAAAAAGCTCTATGCTGCCATCTTTGGAAATTTAGGAATGCAGAGGATAGATCTTTACAGATCTTTATAGAATCTTGTACATTGGGAACTGCCACCCACTTCTGGTGGCTCAACAGCCTCGGGAGAATCATGCTTTTGCTCCCTAACCGAGGCGGGGAGTGATCGATGAGCAAAGATGAATGATTGAGCTTTCGGTGGACTTCTTTTAGTCCAATGTTTTTGCGAATTTTGCGGGAGACAGTCTGGGGGAAAGCTATTTTTGCGAGATACTGAGTCTTGTTCCAGCAATAAGCACACGCTGATCATCGCTGATCGGGGTTGACCTGGATGTTCGTTGTAGATTCTGAAACCAAACCATGTCAATTCACCTGCGGATTTGGATCTCCACTTTCGTTGGTAAAAACGAGCGATTTGGTAAACACAGCAGGGTTTGTACAACCCACTGCATTTTGATCTCTTTCAGATGTTCATTTCTTTGGGCCCTTCCATCATTCTGGTGGGCCAGCCTGTTCCTCAGTCCAGGATATGTATCGATACCGTACTCAACGTGATGGTGCAGACTCCACACCATCTATGGCCTTTTGTGCTCGTGGTGTGGCACTTGGCGCAAGGCCGATCTATCCGGAATTTCAGACTCAGGGGGGTGGGCCACTTTACTGTAGAAACCATCCAATTTGTTGACCCGCAATCGCAATGATCCTAGCAACTCTTCAACCCAATAAGGCCAATAAAATCCACTAAGGAGCTTGTTGATGGGTCATTGCTGGTCATAGTCACTGAGCCTCACTGAGCCTGAGGTGAGTCTGCAACTATGCCACGGCTTGCTTCTCCCAGCCTTAGGGGAGGCCAAGTGCTCAGACCACCAGATGTCAACTGCGCAGATGAATTGGTTGCCAGCCTTGCCAGCGGCTGCAAGGTCCGTGGTTAAAACATGTTAAAACCTGAGGTCACAAAGTCCTGCTCAAATCTGTTGGTCCAGTTGGAGTGCCTTGTCGAAAAAAGGAATCGCCGTGGAATGTTGAGCACCATTGGGCACCGTTGGGCACCGTTGGCAGCTGCGCTGAGGAGATACTCTGACCAGGAGCTCCTAGAGTCCTGCGAGGCGAGGGATCCCGACTTTGAAACCACATGACCTATTGGTGGTATATTGATGGTAAATGTTACCATATCATATATAGCATACATGGATCCTATGGGTGATTTTGGTGGAGTTTTGGTGTCTCCAAGCCCCAAGTGTTTGCAGCCCGCTTGGCTACGCCGTGCCGCCGTGTTTCGTATTACAATGGTGAGAACGGTGCAGGGGAAAAGCCCATATCATCCCATAGCCCATGGGCCATCATGGGCCTATATTTTCTTGATCGTTCACTGGTGTTTACAGAGGGGCTAGGCAGCTGGTTGATTTCTTCTTTGCGACTAACAAAGTGCTGACCATGCAGCTCAGTGAGTTTAGAAGCTAAAACATGCTAAAACTGCTAGACTCAATGAATCTTCTGCAGAAGACTTTTGCGAGAGTTTTCAGCCTTCGCCATTTTGGGCTCAAACCTTGTTTTGGTTTTCACTACTAAATGCTTTGACCTAGGTCCCGGACATCCAACAAAACAAATACAGTGACATGTCAGAAAACCATTTCGTAGAGAATCATGATGTATCAATGAAAGGTCAAGTAAACATCACTAGACCCGTGATCAACATCTAGTAGAGAGGTAAAAAACATATGTTAATCATATTATGTCAAGTGGTCATTTTTTGCAGAAACCACTTAGTAGAGATTTCAAAAAATGCCAGAAACCAATTAGTAGAGGTGATTTTAGAGGTTGCAAAGTAGGGTTTATGAACCGGTCAAAATCAATGAGAAAAAATGAACAACCATTTAGTAGAGATTGCATTCCGTTGCCCCCGATGGCCATGTGGCCAATCAATGTCCATCCAGATGAGCTAGATCAATCCGGATAATAGATGCAAAAAAAATACAGATTGGACCCAGTGTATTTCTCTACTAAATGAATGGTTTTGGGGTTTTGGTCGAGTCATGTTGGTCCCCGAACTTGTGGTCAATTGAGGAGCTCTACTACATGGAACAGGGTGTTTGGTCAAGTCATGTTGGTCTCAATTTTGCACTTAAGCTGAACCAGATGCCACCATCTAGTAGTGAAATTCGACCATGCATGCACAACCATTTAGTAGAGCTTGAGGCTATGCAAACCGTTTATTCACTACTAAATGGTTACACAGCCCCATCCTGAAATTCACACGGGGATTCACAAGTGAATTATACTTCCTTTGGCTTCGCTGAAAGGCGGCGCGTGGTAGGGATGGTGCCATGGTGTTTCGCTTCTGGCTCTGCCTGTTTCTGCAGTTGTGTGGACCTTGGAAGCTTCACTATGCTGTCACCTCGCTAGAACCAGCGATGCAAGGCCCACGTCCCTTTTGGGCGGTGCAGCGTTGGTGCCAAGAGAGAGGCGGGGAAGCTTCCGGTCTTTGACACGCGTAGAACTTGCCACAGATGAGGAGGGTGCAATTAGAATGACTAGATGGCAGATGATGGCAGTGTTGCTAGTGTTGCGAGAGCGCGGATTGCAAATTGCAATTGGCAAATGTTCAAGTTGAGTCGTTTTTTTCCCCATTTTCAATTCCTAATCATTTGTCAGCGTTGCAACATATCCCAAGTTCAGATGAATTCCTACCAGGTTTCCTCTGAGGGTGGAAGGGTGCTGCACTGAGACGGGACATGACGGGACTGGAGTGTCAAATGCTGGTTGTGCCTCAAAATTTGGGCGCCGCAAAGTGATTTCTATACTCTGAAAATCTCTGAGATGAGACAAATTAGACAACTACTTTGGGATGATATCCATTGATATCCTTCGAATTATAGAACTTGTGCTAAGTACCGTAATTATGCATCTTTGAAGCATTGACCTGATCATGTCGAGTGGAAGGCTTCAAATTGCCAAGGCGTTTCATTGTGGATCGTCTTGGAGAGCGTGTGAAGTGGGCGTGGGGGTCTTGGCCGCGGTCAAAGCTGTGAAGGAGCGGAGATGGAGAGATCATCGTTGGCAGAATGCCGAAACTGTCCATGCCTTTATTGTAACCTTGTGACTTCAAAGGCTTCTAGCCGTGCATAGAGCGTGCTTCAAAATTCAAAATGCTTCAAAATGCTTCAAAGTTCTTTGTGATTCCCCAATTGTCTTTGCATTGAATGGAACTTCTGAATTGGTGGGTTGACCCGCCATCTGAATTCACTTGTGATTTGAAGAATGACCACGCAATGTTCACTGCAGAACCGCACATAATGTGATCAATCCTGAAAACTGCAGGCCTTTCCAACCAAACAATTTGACTTCGAGCATCTTCAAACCCGATAAACATAGAATTTCAGGCAGGTTTGATCTGGTTTCCCCTGGCAGCAGCGGAGGTGTGTCAATTGGTACGGCCCCGAGTCCATTTCCTTCACCTTTGGAGGGTTGGAAAAACGACCAGTGGAAGATGTGGTCAGGGTCTCAGGAGTTCAAAGTAGGGGATTTCCAATCTGATTGCCATGTTTTTCTTCAAGATTTGTAATGTTGACCCGTTTCACATCGTTTTACTCTTGTCAGTTGGTGGCAAAACATGTTACTGCTAGTGCCTTGTTCTAGTGGACCAGTTGGTCAAATTTGGAGTTCTAACTTTTGAGACTGCGAGGTGAAACGCATCTCCGACCTTGGCTTCAACTGCGTCAGAGTTGCTTATAGCCTGGAAGCTCACGTGAGGCAGATGGCAGTGGTCACCAGTCAGTTCCATAACCAGTCTTTTTTCTCAGCCTTTTCAGCTATGACGCATATTGTGACATGTGTGACCCTTGGGGATTCGACAATATTCAACAATATTCAACATCATGTCCCATAGGATCCATGTATGGTATACTAACATTGGGGGTATATTGATGGTAAATGTTACCATATATAGCATACATGGATCCAATGGGTGTTTGGTCATGTTTTGTAGTACTTTGACAGAAATCTCAGTCAACTGGCGGGGCGGAACCAGCTCTGTGTATCTCGTCAGGAATCCCACACTTGAAGAGCAGTTCGTGAAGGCCAACAGGCGTTCAACCCAATGCAATTTTCTGGTGACTCAAGGGTGAAGACCTGTGCAGAAAAAACACAATATAGCTTAGCAATGCTTAGCACAACTGTGTGAATATGTTGTGATTCAATTTTATTAAGTCCTTCTACCACTCTCAATCTGACGAAGTTGTGCCACCAGGTTCCTGATCGGAAAGACTTTCCTGGATGGATTCGATGCTGGGATTGAAGCATTGAGCAACGCTGGGTTGATGGTGCCTAGTCAGCACATATTGATATTATATGTATTATATTGATTTTCATTGATTTTCATTTATCGTATATATATATAATAACATATTATAATATATTATGCCAACCTCCAGCCCCAATCCCAAGTTCTAGAACTACAAAGCTCTTTGCCGCCTTCTCTTCTGGTGCAGACTGTGCAAACTTATGCACTTCGAGCTCCCCCTTCAGCAATAATTACGAAGAAATCAGTGAGAGTAAGTGTCCGAGTATCATTATCTTTCACGACCCGCTAGATTCATCATGATAATATCATGATATATCAATATATCAACATCATATATCATCATATATCATTGTGCATATCACATTAACTAAAACTATATAGTATATATATATATATTTATATACATATAGTTATCAACATGTAAATCATGATTCATCAGGGCGGATTCCTGATTCACTACGACTCTTCCACCTCTCTTCTGACCAATAACGGTGCCCCAGGTGATCATCGATCAGCGCCTTGCTGAGCAGCGACGCAACGAATGTCACATCATTTAAAGCCAGAAGAATTGGATCATGTATGATATGGTAATTTTATGGTATATGGGAATGGATGAGAATCATATTAATGATATGGGAACAGATGGGAATGAATGAGCATGATTCGCTCAAATGACCCGGCCAAATGGATGGTCAGCTATCGGCAGATTGAATGAATCCACATCCGGCTTGAGGCATGTATCACGAGCCGGGTATTGTTGCCATTGGTCCCAAGATGAGGGTCTTTGGACGCTGGCTGGCAACTAATGCTTCGCAGATGCTGGGAATGTGGCAGTGAGTGATCATTGAGAATGGACATGTGGCAAGGTATGTTCCAGGCTATCCCGAAGAGACCTGGATACAAAGCCTTGTGAACATGACCCAAAGGTCCGCTGAAAACAGGGCAATCAGTGACATCGAACAGGGGCACTATTTCAATTGGCGCGGCGGATGGCTGGTATTCTTCCAAAACCACTAGAAACGATGACATAGCAGTTGTGTTTGTTGTTTTATTTTGCTAGTCATGTCATTTGCTATCCATTTTTAGTGGACCATTTTTGATGGGAAGACGGGCAGGTACAAAGGCAATCCCTTCGTGGTGGGCATGGACCTTCGCAACGAAGTCCATGACTTGCACTCCAATCCAAAGTGGGGCAGTGGCCTAATGATGACATGGGGCGTGGGGCTCCCCAGGAATATTCTGCGGTCCTGCGACCGGAGACAGAAAACTTGACCCCTTCCATTCCCATGTGAGGCCCTGCTCAATGGCTGTTGTATGTATATATCATTATTTATCTATGCCACTTCCAAGCTTGTGCTGAGACAGCGGCTGCACCAGAGTCCACCATGCCATGACATAGCATCATCATCATCATAATCATCATCAGCATCATCATCATCATCATCATCATCATCATCATCATCATCATCATCATCATCATGATCATCATCATCATGATCATCATCATCATCATGATCATGATCATAATCTTATTCTATAATAATAATATATACATATATATAACATTGGTGATATATTATAGACATCTTATACTTATTGTACTATATGAATATGAATATATATATATATGCTATGTATTGTCCTTAGTGTTTTCACATGTGCTACCACTATACCCTGGCTGCTCTTGTAATCTCGAAACCCGTTCGTGAAACGAGGATGGCAATCCAAAGACAGACTGGGCAGCTGCAGCTACGAGGGCTGGGAACAGAGTGCTTGCTGAAAACCAGGCGCGCCAATGGGACGCGGTTAAAGGGGCCGTAGTTGCTACAGGCGGCTAGCCGGGAAGTCTGGGGTATTCTGGTGTCAAACATCCAGCTGATGTGATAGGACCTGATAGGATTCTGGAGTATTTTGGGATGATGAAATAATCCTTAGCCTTGTGATTTTCTGAAAAAAGCGAAGCTCGACCGACGATTTTGACGCCCAACAGTCGTGCATTGGTCAACCGCTGCTTTTTCTGAACATCATGGAATCGATGAACTGGTATTTGAGTTTTGGCCGAGAGAGATCTGTCTTTTTCAGTCACTCTTCATAATGTGTCCGCATACCACCCAGGACATGCTGATCGCCTGATGCTCAGCTGCGGTTTCGCCGTTCAAGGTGACGCTTTGGATGCTGATTGTACCCATAAGCGCATTGACATCATGGTCAATACTGGTGTCGTTGATAATCCGAACTCCAAAGGTAGGTAAGGGGTGCTTCCGGGGATTAGATCCATGGTGGGATGAACATCTTCTGGCTGCGATTTTTTGACCGTAGATCAATGCAATATCAATGCAGTCAGGTGGTGATGGCTTTGTGCTTTGGAATGGAGTTGCGTCCCATGCGTTTGGGCCTCGGGGAAGGGATCAGGGCTCTTCATCAATCTGGGGTCGTGGATCTTTTCATTGGAACCGACACATTGACAGTTCGCTGGTTTCTCAAAAAAGTGGGGATCCCCAAAAGCCACCCAAGACGGATGGGGTCTGCATGGTCGATCATAGCCGGGCTGTTTAGTGGCCATCACTGTGTTTTAAACTTCCCTGGCTCTTGCCTTTGGTCTGGGAGCAACTGCAGGATCTCAGCCAATTTCTCTGGACCTGCCGAATCGGGTGGTTTACCAGACGCACAACTACATTGAAGCTGGGACTGCAAGATGCTGGTGCTGTGCTCCATGTCCACATGATGTCCACATTCAGCAGCTCCTGGTGCTGTTTCAGGAGTATCAGTTCTGGAACTTGATCACTCGGGATTTGGGCATCAGCTTCAGCACGCTCAGAATCGCGACGCTGATTTCCGGCCATGGGCTCAGAACGTCGTAAGTTTGCTGCAATGCTGAATTAATTGGATCCCTGGTGAATATTAGTTTACAGATCTGCTGGTGGCTGCTTTTCCTTCCCAAAGGAACTCAATTAACGTGAGTTAAACTTGCACTTTAACATTGCAGGGTTTGCAGTATGTGTCAGACCTGGAGGTGTCTTCTTCGCTGCCATCCTCTCCTTCCTCTCGAGAAGTTGGAGGAGGCCTCGTTGACACTGGAAAGTTCTTAAACATTCAGCATCCCCAAAGTTTCAACATGCACCCCAGACATTGATTCCATGTGATTCTCAAACATCATGGAAATGATGGAAATGAGATAAGTGGGACCCTAGTTCTTGTTCAGGAGTCAGGTGAAAATTGTTTGTTTGTTTGTCAGATATTTGGGAGCCTAATCCTCCAAAATCTGCCACGATCCAAGGACTGGAAGGGCTTATCCTCCACGGCAGCTCCTTCTCGTCTCCTTGGGTTCGGCTTCCCGGGGAACTCCAGCTGGTCAGCCATTGGATTTGAATCTGATCCAGTTTGATCATTTTGATCAGGGTTTTTCGGTGAAACCATGGTTAAACCATCATTGGAAATCATGAAACCATGGTTTCATCATGGTTTCATCATTCTTTCATTTCTTTCCAAGATGTTTTTAAATTATCAGCACCTCACTTGGACGTCACTGTGGTTAGGAAGGGTATAATGGTAACATATGGTAACTATATCCATTTTTTTCATCATTTTCTGCCATATTTTCAGATGTCAAAACGTTGGTTTCTTCACAGTTCAACATACAGTTGTGTTGGGAGGTGCCTGGCTCACCGTCTTCAGCTGTCTCTTTTTGGGAGTGGCCTTTGCCGCCTACAAGGCTAGGTAAAATGGCGGTGTACGAGCCATAGTCGGGGGTTATGAATATGAATACCTGGAGATTCCATTGTAGCACTTTTTTCTGGCAAACCCCTGGTTGGATACACTTTCTGCCATCCCTGAGCGTTTTTTGAGGGTCTGCGCACTTTTTGGGGGTTTCAATGGATATGAGCACTTTTTGGGGTTCAAACCCATTTTACACCTTCGTATCTATTAAAACTCTTGGAGAAATCCACAAAGTTACAGTAGCCCATACTCAAGCTGGTGGAAGCCAATCCTGGAAGCAAGTTTTGCATCTAAATTAGCATCTATCTCCTAATTCATGCTTCCTGGGGAGGATGCACATTGGGACCAAACTCAAAAGAATTGATTCTACACATTTGTCTGTGTTTTGACATTTTTTGACGTTTTGGACAACTTGGTACCCCGCAATCGGGGCGCAAATTCGCGCAATCAGGGCGCAATTTCGCGCAATCGGGGCGCAATTCAAAAAGTGTACGGGCACTACTGACACTTGCCTCCCAAATGTGGATATTCAATAGCTTAAGTGTCTAGTTCGGCCCATCCAAGTGAATTTGATGACTTACTTGCAGCAGCGGCGAATGATGTTGGTTGCGGAGAGCCTAAGCAGCGTGATCCTAAGCATAGCGTGATTGTGTCAGTGTATGTTGCAAGAATCCTTGGGGATCCGGCTGTTTGAACATGTGGGGGTGCCCGACAAAATGAAACAACCAAATGAGCACTTTTTAAGGGTTTGTAGCACTTTTTTTGGAAATGAGCGTTTTTTGTTTCTGAGCACTTTTTAGTGTATCGAAGGAAGGTTCAGGTATGTTTAAACAACAACAATAGGGGAAATAATGTGGTATGAATAGGGAAATTTACCAACAAATTTGGTGTTCTAATACCTTCTTTGCCATGAAAGATGTGGGTATGACAGGCAAAAGTCTTACTAAATCCTCAAATATACATGGAGTACGAGAGATAGTGTGGTTTGTTGATCTGCCCTAATTTGACCCAGACTCATGTTCGAACACGTGAACAAAGCGGCTCTCTAATATGACATGATGACCTGGTGGACTCTAGATCATAATTTTGCAATATTTTTGCTGGGTAGAACGAAATTCTCTGTGCATGGTTTCATTTCACACCACTTCAGCGATGTTCCAAGTTCATCAGGCTGCCTGCACATACTGCGAATGGGGAGCTCAACAGGATTTCCTCCCGCGGCTCGGCTATAGTTGACAGACAGGGGTAGGCTTCAAGACTTGTAAGGCTTAGAGCGCAGATGGACTGGTCAGAAGTAGAGTTGAACTGAATGGTGATTATTGGCAATTGTTGGTATTTAGTAACCAACAATACTAAATATTATTGTTGGGATTAATAACATACCTCCCATTTCAAACATGTCCCCCAAACTGACCCATGTCCCATAAAATCCCATCGATTTGCCCCCCAAGACTCCAAGACGGGCCGAGGTGGGTCTACTTTTGGTCTCTCACAGCGGTGGTTGGACTGGTTCTAGTTGTGGTATCTTGGCGCCCTTCTGGAACGGCGAGTAGCTTGGACTCAAGGGGGCCAAATTTGAAGAGAGGACTGTCACGGACTGTCCAAAAAAAACCAGGCACACCCCAGAAAAGTGACCTGAACGTGGGGTGAAAATCCCAGAGTTTTAGCTTGGGAAAGCTGGTCTTGAAATCTCAAGAAATTGGATCACCCCATGGTTTTCCTCAGAGCTCAGGTGTGGCAGAGCTGCTACAAGTAGCCGCTTGGATCGGCATGGCACAAGGCGTCACTGGTAGAGCCTACACCACTGTACTGTAAAAAAAAGATATCACTGATAGCCGATAGCCTTTCTGCAATGCAACTCCACAACCGCTTTTTCTTAGATTTCATTGTTGTGGACGTGGTGGGGACTTGCAATCCGCAACTCAGCCACGGGATTGAATGCTTTGAACAACAATCTGAGGACAAGTACGTGATGCAAAGTGATGAGAGCTGTGATGAGGACGCTTTTGCATCGACACTCGAGACATCAGGCTGCATCTCTAAAGATCCACCACAGACATGTTCCGCCCAACCTGGACGTCGCTCCACACTTACAATCATCATCATCATCATCATCATCATCATCATCATCATCGTCATCATCATCATCATCATCATCATCATCATCATCATCATCATCATCATCATCACCATCATCACCGTCATCACCATCATCACCGTCATCACCGTCATCACCGTCATCACCGTCATCACCGTCATCACCGTCATCACCGTCATCATCATCATCACCGTCATCATCATCATCATCATCATCATCATCATCATCATCATCATCATCATCATCATCATCATCATCATCGTCATCACCTTCATCATTGTCATCATCATCATCATCATCATCATCATCATCATCATCATCATCATCATCATCATCATCATCATGGATCACATATACATCTACATACTGAAAGTCCACCGACATTGCATTTATTGGCATTTCAAAAATACGCAACCCTTCCGCAATTCCGGCGCAGAGCAACGTCAGGGTTGCAAGACATGTTTCAACAGTGAAGCTATGAAGGACGGCCTCAGAAAAAGCAGATCCAGGATGATCCAGGGCACCATTGTTTTTTGCCTAGTAGCCTATTCTGTTTGCCCAGATTCTGTGCAATTGCAGCTTAAGATTGATGCAGGAAACTGATCTTTTTCAGAAAAGTGATGACCGGGGTGGTGGAAGCAGTGGAAGTGGAAGAGACATCACAAAGCCTTGGGACAGAGGCCATGGTCTCAGTCGATGGATCTCTGGCAAGCCTACTAGAGTTTTATGATTTATGATGTTTTATGATGTTTTCTGATGTTTTTTTTAAATGTTTTTTTGACGTTTTTTGATGTTTTATGATATGATGCTTTATGATGTTTTATGATGTTTTCTGAAGGGAACTATCATCATTGTCCCTGTGTCAAAGACCGCAACACACACGCATGTCAGCATTGTGGTGAGGTCTTGTGATCAGGCTTCAATGCTTCATCGTCTCGGTGATACTACTGGTGATGTGTGGTGTAGGTCTGTTTGTGGCTCGGTTGCTGCAGCGCCACATTTCCGTTGATATTTTATAGTTACCCTCTGGTAATTTAACGCAGCTATTGAAAATGGCCATTTATAGTGGATTTTCCCATTAAAAATGGTGATTTTCCATAGCTATGTTAAATTACCAGAGGGTAATTATTATATATTTGAAATACTGAAAGTTGCATTTCTCAAGTACGCTGTCTTACTGACTCCGACCCAGTGTGTTCTTACCCGTAACCGTAAAATCAGGGTCCCCTGTACGGCATTGATGATATTGATGTTTCCTCCATTTTGTGCATACATGCTGTTTGCAAAAACTTTTTTGAGACTGATTGGCTCCAGCAAAAATAGAACTAGAGGATAATCTCGGAAAAACAGGGTCCGCTTTCAACTATGAGAAGAAACAAAGTCTTTCTGATGAACCGGCACTTTTTTGTCATCTAAAAAATGGTGGTCAGATGGTGATGCGCACCGAAGCCAAGGCTGCTATCGTGGTCGATGCTAAGCGGAAATGAGGGTTTGATGGGATTGGGATGGACTGGGATGGTTTGAAGTACCACAGGCCTGGCACAGGATGAATTTTCGTCCGAAGTTTCCTGCAGCTTAGGACACTTACTGGTTCTACGAAAGGCTGACGCTGTTTTGAAGCAGCAGTTATGGCAGACAGAATTGGAAGACAAATGCAACAAGTGCTTCCAGGTGGTTCTCACTTTCCAAGCTGAACTTCGCGCAGGTGGCTTGACAAACAGTGGGGCTTTGCTCTGGAAGAAGGACAACCATTTACTGCGCCAGTCTGGATGGGCGAATTTGGCTACTTGACCCTTGGCAGGGCAGCAAGTGATGGCAGCGAAGTTGAGTCGTTGAGGGTCGCAATTCCTCATCCTCAACGACCCCCATTTGTGAACAGCATCAACTTCGAATTGCTCCCATGGAGCATGTTTGAAGGATCAGTCCCAGTACACCTTTGCAATCCTTTGCAACTTTACTGCTAGCTGATAGCTGGACAGTTTTTTTTGTTTTTGTTTTTTTTTATCAGGATTGGATCAATATTTTGCAGCGAAATCTGAGGAACCATGGGCCATTCTGGCTGATGTTCATGCGTTGCCAGCTGAGACTCACCTCATGTGTCATGGGAACAAAGCGCCGGTCATGAACCTATGGGACCTATGGCATAGCAGTTGAGGCTACCTATCCTCAAGAGATGTGGACTTCGCGTACTGGGTCACTTCCTCAAATGGGTCAGAATTTTGGACCCAATGTGTGCGACAGGTTCTGTTGAACGATGTAATGCCTGACTTAATCTGACTTAAGAATCTTAAGTCTTCAGAGTGATCACCTTGTTTTGGTCTGAGATTTTTGATCCCAACATACCCGAACACTACCCGAACAAAGAACTTGTATAATCTTGTATACATGGCTCGGGACCGGAAAGCTTCACATGGCAAGTGGAGCCAGGGATGCTGTGACATGCGAGGCCATCAATGGCATCAAATACTCAGAAGGCTTTAATGGCGCAGATGGTGCCAAACTGAGCCCTAAAAAAGCTGTGCCAAACTGACAGCTAGGATCAGCTGGGTGGATCTAGATAGGTGTCCAAAGTGTCCAAATCCTTGTGGAGCATTAATAGTTCTGGTGATGTTCGGCAAATTCCGGGAGCACTGCAGCAGAGAATTCGCCAATGACACGATCTGGCTCCAGCCGAAGAGCTTGTGTCGCTTCGGGGCGACATGTTGCGCGCTGCCTGGTGCCTTGTTTGAATCGGATGCAGTGCCGGCTGCCGTTGAGATGTGGCCATAATATGCCATGAAGTGCTGAGGTATTGGTTAACAACTGTGGCAGTGATCAATGCTGCAGATGCGCTATCAGCTGCTTGGTAGGAAAGATTCATAGGCTTTGCGAAACGGCTTGAGCATCTTGAACCAGCTGCGTATAGCATCGTATAGCTGTGAGACCCAATGGCCCACATGTTCTGCTCCGAATCGCCAAGGATATAAATGAGGTGAAGGCGCTAGATGCAGATGGAGAATGCTCAGCCAGAATCTGAGTTCCACATTGTTTCTGTGTGATATGTTGTGATATTCCGCAAAGCACCAGAGTACCAGAACAAATTCCTTAAAGCACCATGTTGACTAGACTATATAGCGTGTGAGAGAAGTTGTGTTGGGTCTTCATACTTGGCACACTTTTTTTTTTTAATTTCTGCCAGTGGTTTCCCTACAGATGTTCACTCCATTTAAATCTGCCTGGTGCATCGATTGAGGATGCAGCTAGTGCGTGTAGCCTCAATCTGCTGCTTGGCATAGCGGTTGTGGTGGTGTGTTTGTCTCCCTGATGGACAAGCTTGGGCCATTGGTCACAGCCCCTTCCTGCTACGGAAAAAGCATTCATCCATATATATATATATATAAATAATATATATATAATATAGTATTCACATATTATCCATATTCATCCCTTTGAGATGGGATTGCGAGCCTTGCATAAGGAGATCATTTCGATTGAACCGAAAAAGCCTAAAGCCTGCGACCACGGAGCAACCAAGGATTCAAGTTGAAGGTGAAACCGACAAGAGGACCTGGGAAGCAGGGTGATAGCAGTTCGCCAACATAACAAATCAAACAACCGAGCACAGAGTGATACCAAACAACCGTTACGCTTTACGTCGGTGACTGCTCTGATGGCTGCCAATTTTTTTCACCCTGCCATGGTTTCCGGACTAGCATCTCATTTTGGGAAGAGTCAGACTCAGAGACTCACAGGTATTAGAATGATTCAAAATTGAAGGAACAATTCTACAGGAAAATATAGAGGGTAACTAAAATCCAACAAATCTGGATAAATTTGACAACCCTTCAAACATTATCTGAAAATAATTGGGTATAAATCTAGTGTAAGCAAAATTATCCAAATTTAACCAATTTTCATCCAAATTTAACCAAATTTAATTGAATTTTAATTTCCTTGACTTCTGCCCAACGGAACTGTTTGATTTCCTGTTTTCCTGTATTGCCACCAAAAATGTGTACCTTCACCCCAAAAGGGTTCATTTTCAAAACAAATTTATCAGGACTTTAAGCAAAAAAAAATTCCCTTTTTTTTCCTGGAGATTCTTTCTTTGAAGAATGAAATTCACATATATACACTGTATATCCCTGTATATCACTGGCCAGAAAATCACGACTTCAGGAATGCTGAGCGGTGGGACAGCGAGCCAACGGCCTGGGGAGACATCTCCCACTTTGGTCGTTTCACCGGTGGGTGCCTGGGCAGCTCCATGGTGATATGGCCGGATTCTTTTGGATGTTCAAATATGGTTTAATGATGTTTAATGATGTTTAATGATGTTTAGTATGGTTTTAATCATGTTTCTTACACACACTTGAAAAAAAACACAGCAATTTCGTGGGGGCCTGGTATCTGCCAATTTGAGCCCCCAACTTGGGGATGGGGGCTGGGACCCAAGGACTTGCACGTTCTTCGGCTGTGACCAGACCAGAGGGCCCACGGTGTGCCACCATTTCAAGTGCATTTGTGCGGAGGCACTGGTTGTGGAAGGGTAAGAGATGGCAAGAGTGTGCTGGGAAATCATGAAACCATCATGAAACCATCATGAAACCATCATGAAACCATCATGAAACCATCATGAAACCATTGAACACATCAAACACTTACGTCTCTGACGAGGGACTGAGAGAGTTGCCGTCCGCTGCAGGGCTATTTGGCATTTGCGGGTTCGTGAGACTTGCTTCAAATTTATGGAATATATGTTCCATATTATGTATGTTCCGGTGTCCCAAGATCCATTAGAGGGGAAAAAAAACTTGGGTCCGCCCAAAAAAAACTGGAGACACCCGATTGTTCCCGAAAGGTTTGCTAAGTTGTTCTTGTTGCTGAACAATTCCCCCAGTTGTACTATGTTGTATTACATTGAGTAGGCATGTGTTTTACACTGATACCCTACCCAGCCTATCCCAGCCTGCTTCGTTTGTTCCAGATTTCCACCATCAGCTGAGACGTTTTGCACCCGAGGCCAACCTGAGGCGGAAGGGCCCACGACGGCTCTGGGGACGCGCACCGGCGAAACCTGCCGATTCGGTTGCTGCGGCTGCAACATGCTGCAGCGGGGGTCATTTGTTTGAGGATGTTTGGTTTCGGCAATGGATTATGGAGGTGAGGGCTTACTGTACCTGTATTGTAGCTGTATTTCCCAGAACATGGGTGGTTGATGGGGGATGAATGTCAGAATATATCAGAATAGATATCGGGCATTATGGGGCGTTGCGCTTTGATTTCATGGCTGCCAAGGCTACTGCACAGTGCCTCACAGCACGTGCAAAACTGGCAACTGCTTTTGTGGCAAAGGCTTCGTCGCGAAGAGCGGCATTTGCGAGGCGGACCTTCAAATGATCTTCAAATGAGTCAGAACCGAATCTGAATTCGCAACATCTAGATTTCCGGACTCTCATATTCACGTATCTGGTTTCAATGTGCTATAATGTGCTCTAAGGTGCTCGCTCATCAGCAGATTCATCAGCAGATTCATCCAGGTCAGTGTTGCATCGAGGGTTCGATTTTTTCCTGGCCAGGGTGCATCAGATGACCTCGCTCCCTTCACCTAGATGTTTTTTGCGTTCTGAAATTGGGCCTCCTTCATTCAGCTCCAGGTGGGTTCGCTTTCGTGGATGATGTCCATATGCTTGGTTGATAGAGGGTTCCTGGCATTCAACAACCAGGTAGATGAGAATGAATCATATGGGTATGGATCAAGAAAATACAATTTTTAGGGGGATGAACATCCATTTACCAGCTATTTTGATGTGAACTACAGGGGTACAAGGTTTTGACACACTGCCATATACCAAACCGGCCGCTCTATTTTTCCTAAAAAATGCATCCAATCTCATCAACAGACGCATAGTGGAAGGTTTCAAAATGATTGAGAAATTGGGACGTTTCCTCTGAGACAAGACCAACATTGTGCCTTGTTAGGTTTTGGTAACCGATTCTTCAGCTGGCACATTGGGGTATCCACCCATGCTGTAACAGTTGGTGATGGAGACTAGGAAGAGCCCTGTCGGCCCAGTACCAAAACAGCAAGTCTTTATACCGGCAAATAGTAACATTAGGTAACATGGAGGTGTAATTTAAACATATACTATATAAACCGTTGTTTCCTATTTTACCCAATGTTTGATGATTGGGATTTAGTACCCCATCAATAATCATCAATACCATTTTAGCATTGAGTTTAACTTATTTTTTCAGATTCCATCTTCCACCACGCTTGTTTGGAGGTGTTGATGGTGTCGCTGAGCCCGCGGTTCGTAGCAGCCGTCTCAAAGCACGCATAGACACCCGCAGGGGCGCCGCAACGTCAATGCAACAACCAAAGAGTTGGAAAACAACACACCGTGCCATGAAAACATGAATGTACGAAATGGGGTGCTGATGGATGCTGATATTTCAAGTTGGTGGAAAACAACGAAGTCTATATAACTTACCAAAGAGTTCTTGAGGACAGCACATGTTTTTTTTCCTGGAACTGATTCAGATTGGATGGCTGCGCTTTCCGGCATGTCTTTCAATGTGCTCAGCACTACTTATCTTCAAAAGGTACACTCAGGCAATGCCTCAATGTTCGTCAATGCCTTCCCATATGAGGTGTTTATCGTCCACTACCAGGAGGTGCCAGGTGGGTTGTGGAGCTCTACGGCATTCTTGGACCAGACTGGCAGACAGTGAAGAAGGCAGGGAACTTACCCAAAAGAACAGTGGGTCCATATTATATGACTTTTTTGTGCAGAAACAGAAGAGCTGGAAGATAGCTTGGAAGCTTGGAAGGGAAGTTTTTGTGGATCACCTGCAGATTCTGAGATTCTACAGAAATATGGGATGGGACGATCAGGCCTGGATGGTTCGTGATCTACAAGCACTGATGGATTCCCCATCTCGATGGCTTCCCACAGACATCGGCTGCGTCACGGACTTTCTGGGTCACTGGGTGAACGTTATATGTGGGGCAAAAAGGCCGCACATGACCTTATGAAATATGGACATTATATGGACTATATATGGACTATATATTAGACTATATGGAATATATATATATATATAATCAATTATAATCATCCATAGTCAATCTATATAATTCAATGAAATATGAACTATATATGGACTATATATGGACTATATGGATCATTATGGACCAATGGATGGTGGGCCTGGATTCTACTTCTTGACTTCTTGATCCTCTGGTTGAATTTCTACACGTCGTGTTTTTCTCCCGCTGACATGAACGGTGCCTTAGGACACTTCTGTGACGTGCCCTTCCGTGGTCCTGATGTCTGAAGGATCTGGCCAGAGCAAAATCAGAGCGTCCGAAGTCTTGCAGCATTTGTTTCACTAGCTCACTAGCAGTTGAGTGATAATTATAGATCTCACAATTTTGGCCTATCCATAGCCTATCCATAGCCTATTCATTGTCCATTGCCTATGCATTGCCTATTCGTTATTCCCTTTTGAAAGACATTTTTTGTGGGTCTCCAATGGCCCATTTTATGGCCCCAATCCCTCATTGACACCGAATGCCAGGCCGTGTTATCTTCCGTGGTTTGTGCCCAGGCCTAGATCTTGAGATGAGAAAAGATGGCCCCTATGGCTTGATGTTTTCCAAAAGCATCAAGGTGGATCAAGCGTGTGAAAGGCTGTTGATTGAGGGTTACGGTATATAACAGATATATAACACTATATAATATAAATATATACACTAGTACAATCTAGATGATCTAGTGTATATGTATATAGATATACACAGTATATGTATAATATCGATATTTGATTGAGTATATGGTATTGTATGGCTCAAGATTAGTTGTTGTTTTTTCAAGTAAGCCATTGATGTAGGATTCTATCCCAAGCCGCCGTGCACGGTTGTCACTGCAGAGGCAATGGTACATCTGGGAGGCAGTTACTGGGTTGGGATGGAAAGCGGGGCTGTGGCCCATCTCTGGTGTTTGAGAGGCCTTGATCAAACGATACTGTAAACTTGTGTGATATGGATCTATGCTGATCTAGATATTTTATGATATTTTTACCAATGACAGAATTAGAGGCACCAGCCACCTTGCAACTTTACCCTTCCGATCTTTGCTTCACGTTGTCTCCTTTAGTGAAGTCTGGAATCTGCAGGACGTCCCTGGGATCCTGACCGACGTTCTGTAGCTTGCCAGGGGAACCCAGTGTGGCAACCCTGCAATGGTTGGAGATTCTGACAGATTCTGACCATTTCTGACCCAAAGTCAGATTGAGTTCGTTTCAGCCTGCGATCTTGCAGGAGTTTTCATTGAACCCCATTCCACACTTTTTGTATCTTTTTGTTGTTTTCCATTCTGTATCATTAGTATCCTGGGGTTGCCTCTGCAGGGTTTCGTCCTGCAGAGCGTGCGGATTGACTCGCACCCCCTTCTGTTTTTTCTTGATCCGGTTCTAAGCAGGGGCTCGCTAACAGACACCATGCAGATCCTTTCTTTCCATTCTTTTGTTAGTTTTTGTTACCGTATAGTTTTCCAGGTGCTAATAAACATATCAGGAAGCACTATTTTTCGAAGCCTGAGGTCACCATCTGAGTGGAGCTTGGTTGGAGAGGCTTCGGCCCGGCTCCGGGCCGATGGTGTTGTTATTGCCCAGAGGATAGAAAAGGTGAAATCGCATTACAGAACTGGTTGGTGGTTTGGAACATTTGGATTATTTTTCCATATTTTTCCATATATTGGGAATACTTTTCCCATTGACTTTCATATTTTTCAGAGGGGTTGGCTCAACCACCAACCAGAGAATATTTATAGAATATAAGATTATAATGACAATAGTAATAATTTATTGCTAGGCACCTCCCAAGCGGTCGACCGAGTCCAATCATGCCTCATGATCGAATCAACAGAAGTGCGTTTGCCAGTGTTTGGCGTTGAACAGTTTGCTCTCTCTCGGACATTGGGTTACATTTTTGCTGGTTTGATTCCATAGTCATTTAATGAGTCCATTTATGGTGGGGTATGAAACAACCATGATATCCTTTGTTCAAACATCCTTTGCTTCACACTGCTTCGCAGCCTGCTTCGCAGGCATTCAGACCATCAGATGAAGCATTTACTGACACAGTCACCTTCTCGGTGAATCAAAGAGCCTTGAGACTTGAGAACTTGGTATGGCTCAACGCTGAACTAAGAAACCATAAGAAACATAAGAAACCAAGTCGTCCATCTTTTGCTCTCAGCATCTCTCAGCCCAAGCCATGTTTGGAAATTGTTTCCCTCAGGCGATCAGCAAAGTCTGTCAGGCCAGCAGAGCTTTTTTCGGCACAGATGCCTGAAGGGGAAAGGTGGATCATGGTGAATCATGAAAACATGTAAACATAGCTATGGAAAATGGCCCATTCATAGTTGATTTACCTAGTAAAAATGGTGATTTTCCAGTTCGCTATGTTAGTTTACCAGAGGGTCAACATATTCTCTAAACACGCGAACTGGACATTTTGAAGGCGACATGGTGGACAACTTCGATCAGCGGCACAGGACCATAGATCAATCGCTTCAGGTCAGGATGCTGTATCAAAATGGGAAATGACGGGGAGAATTTCATGACACGAAGTAGGTCATCCAAAATTAGTTAAGGAAAATGATGGGACACATTCACAGAAATTACCATATAGTTTCTTGAGTTTTAGTACCCACATGTCCTCGAAATTCGCGCAGCGGAGGATGTGGATTTGACCCTGCACCTCAAGGGCTTCGGGGACAAGTCCTATGAGGATGCTCCAACGGAAGAGCCACCCCCGTGTCTCGGATGAATCAGTCGTATCATTCGTTGCTTCAGGGTTTTGTGGGATGTTTTTCTATGTTTTTCTCACTAAGAATTGCTGCATATGATAGATTTCTCATGATTGTTTGTATATGTTTGTATATAATGTTTGAATTTCATGGAATCCCCCCATTCCTCCATCCAAGAAAGGCATTGGCTCAGATGTGACCAAATTGTATGGCAGCCTTGAGGTCCATAGCTTGAACCCAAACATCAATGAACTGCCGGCAACACAGGTACTACGACCTTCACCGCAGGGTACCCGAGAGTGACCAGCAATCTGTTCAATCTGTTTGGGAGTCTCAGAGTTGTTCATTTTTGTTGATTCTTTTGGCATTTTTTCTTGGAAAGCTTGGTCGTGGCAGGACGCAAAAATACGGTCTATAAGGTTATTTCTCAAAGGCGGTACCCCTATACCCTGTGGTTTATCATCAATTTTCTCTATCAAAATTGCTATCATTATATAGGGGCATCCCCAGTGTGACCCAAACCCAGCAGGTTTTCCTATAAGTACAGCACAGTGGAGCCTTCCGCTCACCACCAGACACAAGTTGCACCAGCCATCACCAAACACCAGAGGCAACGGATTTGATGCAGACCACAACGAAGAAGATGAAGACTTCGAGCCTTTGATGCACAGAAAATTGTTCGTCCAATGGAAGATTGTTGGAAGTTTGTTTGCAACATTCTATATGACTTAGCACTCTTGTTTGCACTTGGGAATTGCGATTGGAACAGACAGCTACCTACATGTCGTCGACCTCGTTTTTGATCACAGAGTCTTGATCGACTTTTTTTGCCACTTGCCATCACTTGCCCCTTGAGGCGCCATTCCAGGTCTTCGACATTGTAAGGCTTGCGGAAAGTTGTTTGGAGTGGAGGAAGAAGGGCGCATCTTGGCCCCCCTTCAATTGAAAGGTCCATGATATTTCCATAGATTCTCATGAGATTTCCATTAAATCCCATGATTTCTGGACCATCAAAGATTACTCAGAAGGACGACGGTCCAGATCTGACGCGGCTGGATGACTGGCCTCGGATGGTTACGCCCAGGCTTCGGAGCAAGTATCTTCGAAAATCCACCACGATAGCTACGACTACGACCACAACGACCACTACGACCACAACGACTACGACAACCACTACGACCAAACCAGCAAGTGAAGGCTGGCGGTTCTGCTGGGAATGCCTTAAAGATCTTAAAGTCTACTTCTTGCTGCTGTCTACCAGACCCTTCACCGTTTTCATTCCTGATTTGCGAGTTCCTTTGTCTTCCAATCGATCTTGGCAGGCAACGCTAGCACTGCAAACCAGAGTAATGCCTCCAGTGCCTTCAATATATCGAGCAATGGCTCAGCCACCATCCCAGATACAAGGAAACGCTCAGCAATCTGTGCAAAGAATCGCAAGAATAAATTTAATTTGAGTCTCAAATCGAAGTCTGAGGCTCATGTCAATGCTTCGTCCAGATCTGAGACTGCGGCAAGATAGTCAGCGCACATCAGCACAATATCGAGTTGTGATGCATGATGCAATGAGCTATTTGTCCAACTGCAGAGCACAACAGCTGTATCATGAAGGCATTCAAATTCATGCAGTGATGTTTCTCAAGGCGTTCGGCCGAAGCTGCTGGGGCTTTTGCCAGCCCGAAGCAAGAGCAAGGCCATTGGAAGTCGCGGGACGCGTTCAAAGCCTTTCAAGGTGACAAGTCACAACAAGAAAGTAAGAGATAGAAATCGATAAGAAGAGATAGAAAGAGTTAAGAAGAGATTGAACGAGATAAGAAGAGATAGAAAGATACAAGATATCAAGAGAGATAGAAAGAGTGGGATTAAGTGTACTGTTGGCGAGTTGATGATGTGCAAGTTGATTGACGTATTTGTTTTTACGTGGTATTTACGTGCATTTGCGTGCTGTTGCAATATTTGGTTGGACAATGGAGGCACCGTCAGCAACATGAGCAAGTCCAGCAATGTCAGCAATGCCACCAATGCCACCACTGTGGCTTCCAGCGCTGTACAGTCCTCAGGTATTTTGAATCATATTCAGTCGATTCAGTCATTCAGTTTCTTTTGCTATTCTCTTGTTGATATCGGACTTCAACGCTACCCGCAAAACATGTGATATTTGCTGATATTTGCAAAAAATCAGGCTGCAAATGTGTCCGCGCTTGGCCCCAAGTTGTTGAATCTGTTGAATAGCTCAACGATGGCTTTGTTGTAGGCGCTACAAAGAGGTCTGCTATGGTGATTTGCACATCGTTGATGGGACATGCAAGTGTGAGGCCTTCAGTAGGCGTGCAGTCAGTGAAAGCTAGTGATGGTGCCACCGGCAAGTTTGTACGTTGTGTTTGTTGAGGGTTCCAGCAACTTCATGGCATGCCAATTGGACAATTGTCGTGACATGTCGTGACCAAGTACTGACCAAGCTTGAGTTGGTGGGCTGCTTCTCGGCAGGCAACGCTACTGTTGCCAACCAAAGCAATGCTTCTGGTAGTCTCAATGCAAGCACGAACAGCTCTGTCTACATCCCAGGAACTCTCAGCAACCCTGGTCCAATGCGATGAAATGCATACACATGCTGAACAATTTCTGAACGTTGACATGATCCCAGCTTGAGTCTCAAATCAATGAAGTCTGAGGCTCTTGTCAATGCTTCGTCCAGATCTGAGACTGCGGCAAGATAGTCAGCACACATCAGCACAATATCGAGTTGTGATGCATGATGCAATGAGCTATTTGTCCAACTGCAGAGCACAACAGCTGTATCATGAAGGCATTCAAATTCATGCAGTGATGTTTCTCAAGGCGTTCGGCCGAAGCTGCTGGGGCTTTTGCCAGCCCGAAGCAAGAGCAAGGCCATTGGAAGTCGCGGGACGCGTTCAAAGCCTTTCAAGGTGACAAGTCACAACAAGAAAGTAAGAGATAGAAATCGATAAGAAGAGATAGAAAGAGTTAAGAAGAGATTGAACGAGATAAGAAGAGATAGAAAGATACAAGATATCAAGAGAGATAGAAAGAGTGGGATTAAGTGTACTGTTGGCGAGTTGATGATGTGCAAGTTGATTGACGTATTTGTTTTTACGTGGTATTTACGTGCATTTGCGTGCTGTTGCAATATTTGGTTGGACAATGGAGGCACCGTCAGCAACATGAGCAAGTCCAGCAATGTCAGCAATGCCACCAATGCCACCACTGTGGCTTCCAGCGCTGTACAGTCCTCAGGTATTTTGAATCATATTCAGTCGATTCAGTCATTCAGTTTCTTTTGCTATTCTCTTGTTGATATCGGACTTCAACGCTACCCGCAAAACATGTGATATTTGCTGATATTTGCAAAAAATCAGGCTGCAAATGTGTCCGCGCTTGGCCCCAAGTTGTTGAATCTGTTGAATAGGTCAACGATGGCTTTGTTGTAGGCGCTACAAAGAGGTCTGCTATGGTGATTTGCACATCGTTGATGGGACATGCCAGTGTGAGGCCTTCAGTAGGCGTGCAGTCAGTGAAAGCTAGTGATGGTGCCACCGGCAAGTTTGTACGTTGTGTTTGTTGAGGGTTCCAGCAACTTCATGGCATGCCAATTGGACAATTGTCGTGACCAAGTATTGACCAAGCTTGAGTTGGTGAGCTGCTTCTCGGCAGGCAACGCTACTGTTGCCAACCAAAGCAATGCTTCTGGTAGTCTCAATGCAAGCACGAACAGCTCTGTCTACATCCCAGGAACTCTCAGCAACCCTGGTCCAATGCGATGAAATGCATACACATGCTGAACAATTTCTGAACGTTGACATGATCCCAGCTTGAGTCTCAAATCAATGAAGTCTGAGGCTCTTGTCAATGCTTCGTCCAGATCTGAGACTGCGGCAAGATAGTCAGCACACATCAGCACAATATCGAGTTGTGATGCATGATGCAATGAGCTATTTGTCCAACTGCAGAGCACAACAGCTGTATCATGAAGGCATTCAAATTCATGCAGTGATGTTTCTCAAGGCGTTCGGCCGAAGCTGCTGGGGCTTTTGCCAGCCCGAAGCAAGAGCAAGGCCATTGGAAGTCGCGGGACGCGTTCAAAGCCTTTCAAGGTGACAAGTCACAACAAGAAAGTAAGAGATAGAAATCGATAAGAAGAGATAGAAAGAGTTAAGAAGAGATTGAACGAGATAAGAAGAGATAGAAAGATACAAGATATCAAGAGAGATAGAAAGAGTGGGATTAAGTGTACTGTTGGCGAGTTGATGATGTGCAAGTTGATTGACGTATTTGTTTTTACGTGGTATTTACGTGCATTTGCGTGCTGTTGCAATATTTGGTTGGACAACGGAGGCACCGTCAGCAACATGAGCAAGTCCAGCAATGTCAGCAATGCCACCAATGCCACCACTGTGGCTTCCAGCGCTGTACAGTCCTCAGGTATTTTGAATCATATTCAGTCGATTCAGTCATTCAGTTTCTTTTGCTATTCTCTTGTTGATATCGGACTTCAACGCTACCCGCAAAACATGTGATATTTGCTGATATTTGCAAAAAATCAGGCTGCAAATGTGTCCGCGCTTGGCCCCAAGTTGTTGAATCTGTTGAATAGGTCAACGATGGCTTTGTTGTAGGCGCTACAAAGAGGTCTGCTATGGTGATTTGCACATCGTTGATGGGACATGCAAGTGTGAGGCCTTCAGTAGGCGTGCAGTCAGTGAAAGCTAGTGATGGTGCCACCGGCAAGTTTGTACGTTGTGTTTGTTGGGGGTTCCAGCAACTTCATGGCATGCCAATTGGACAATTGTCGTGACCAAGTATTGACCAAGCTTGAGTTGGTGGGCTGCTTCTCGGCAGGCAACGCTACTGTTGCCAACCAAAGCAATGCTTCTGGTAGTCTCAATGCAAGCACGAACAGCTCTGTCTACATCCCAGGAACTCTCAGCAACCCTGGTCCAATGCGATGAAATGCATACACATGCTGAACAATTTCTGAACGTTGACATGATCCCAGCTTGAGTCTCAAATCAATGAAGTCTGAGGCTCTTGTCAATGCTTCGTCCAGATCTGAGACTGCGGCAAGATAGTCAGCACACATCAGCACAATATCGAGTTGTGATGCATGATGCAATGAGCTATTTGTCCAACTGCAGAGCACAACAGCTGTATCATGAAGGCATTCAAATTCATGCAGTGATGTTTCTCAAGGCGTTCGGCCGAAGCTGCTGGGGCTTTTGCCAGCCCGAAGCAAGAGCAAGGCCATTGGAAGTCGCGGGACGCGTTCAAAGCCTTTCAAGGTGACAAGTCACAACAAGAAAGTAAGAGATAGAAATCGATAAGAAGAGATAGAACGAGATAAGAAGAGATTGAACGAGATAAGAAGAGATAGAAAGATAAAAGATATCAAGAGAGATAGAAAGAGTGGGATTAAGTGTACTGTTGGCGAGTTGATGATGTGCAAGTCGATTGACGTATTTGTTTTTACGTGGTATTTACGTGCATTTGCGTGCTGTTGCAATATTTGGTTGGACAACGGAGGCACCGTCAGCAACATGAGCAAGTCCAGCAATGTCAGCAATGTCACCAATGCCACCACTGTGGCTTCCAGCGCTGTACAGTCCTCAGGTATTTTGAATCATATTCAGTCGATTCAGTCATTCAGTTTCTTTTGCTATTCTCTTGTTGATATCGGACTTCAACGCTACCCGCAAAACATGTGATATTTGCAGATATTTGCAAAAAACCAGGCTGCAAATGTGTCCGCGCTTGGCCCCAAGTTGTTGAATCTGTTGAATATGTCAACGATGGCTTTGTTGTAGGCGCTACAAAGAGGTCTGCTATGGTGATTTGCACATCGTTGATGGGACATGCCAGTGTGAGGCCTTCAGTAGGCGTGCAGTCAGTGAAAGCTAGTGATGGTGCCACCGGCAAGTTTGTACGTTGTGTTTGTTGAGGGTTCCAGCAACTTCATGGCATGCCAATTGGACAATTGTCGTGACCAAGTATTGACCAAGCTTGAGTTGGTGGGCTGCTTCTCGGCAGGCAACGCTACTGTTGCCAACCAAAGCAATGCTTCTGGTAGTCTCAATGCAAGCACGAACAGCTCTGTCTACATCCCAGGAACTCTCAGCAACCCTGGTCCAATGCGATGAAATGCATACACATGCTGAACAATTTCTGAACGTTGACATGATC